CGCAACCCCGCGCTCCCCCTCCCCCTTCCTCCAGCGCCCCGCGAGGGCGGAGTGGTTTGAGTGGGGGGAGGGCCGGCCCCAAGTTGGGGCGGTGCCTCCCCCTTCCGGAGCGCCGGGAGGGGGTCGGGGGGGGGGTTCGTGCGTGTGTTTGTAAGTGTTCGTTCGTGTGACGTGGGTGTGGTTGTAAGTGTGTTCGTTTGTGCGTGTGTGTGTGTGCGTTTGCTTGTGTGACTGTCTCTGTTCTCAGTGCGTCTTTTCTGTGGGTGTTCGCGATTGCGTTCGTGTGTCTGGTGCGTGTGTGTGTCTGGTGCGTGTGCGTGTGTGTGTGTGTGTGTGTGCGCGTGTGCCTGTGTGTTCGTGCGTGTGTGTGTGTGTGTGCGCTTGTGCGTTTGCGTGTGTTTCTGTTTGTATGAGTGGGTGGGAGTGTGTGTGTGTGTGTGTGTGCGTTTCAACTTTGACAATCATTGGAGACGTCATTTTCGGCTCCTGCGAGCTAGGGGATGTCTCGGGGCCAGCCACACATGCAGTATGTGCGTAGCTAGATTTCAGATTGTCTGTATGCATGCTCCTTTGTTTATGTGCGTAGAAAGATTCCAGGTTGTCTGTATGCATGCTTTCTTTAGTTGCCCTCTCAGTCCGCCTCACACGCACCATAGCTTTTCATCTCGAGCCTCCGTTGACGGAGGGTTTAGGGCGCCGCTCAAGGCCCCAGGGCCGCAGAGATTCTCGGTCCTCTGTCATCGCAGGCACCGCTCGCACGTTTGCTTGAGGAAAACGGTCCGTTGGTCCTCTTGCTTCACTGTTGTTGGTCATTCAGCTACGCTTCGCGGACTGCCCCGACTGGCACCACTGGAGGAAGGGACGACGACAAGTAACTTGATCAATACGTGATTTCGAACGTAACTCATCACAAGTGTGTTTCTGGGAGCGTGGAGCGTTCATCTTCGGACTTCGTGCACCACACCCAGACATCCATAACCTACGTGTCTCAGCTTAGTTCATCTCGGTTGATTTCACGGCCTACGTGTTTCATTTCATAACCTACGTGTTTCATTTCATGATCGACGTGTTGCATTTCCACATCTGCGTGGCTCATTTCTTGCTCTACGTGTTTCATGTCATAACCTACGTGTCTCATTTCATAGTCTACGTGTTGCATTTCCACACCTCTGTGGTTCATTTCTTGCTCTACGTGCTCAATTTCACCATCTACGTGTTGTATTTCACGCTCTACGTGCTCAATTTCATAACCTACGTGCTGTATTTCACCACCTGCGTGGTTCATTTCATACTCTACGTGTCCAATTTCATAACATCTGTGGTTCATTTTGTACTCTATAGGTCAACGGCCCTGGAGCGGCCATGGACCCCACTGGAGGTGCTTTGACGCAAGCATCAGATACGTTGCAGTCAAGATCAGATCGACGGGTATCCCAATATATGGCTCAACGGATGCGACTTACTACCTTTGCTGGGACGAAGCTATTGATTGCGATGACACGAGATATCCAGGCCGTTGCAGGATGGTCTTCGGAGCTGGCCGTCCATACTAACCTTCGCTCGCATAAGCCTTACTCGTCCTCCGTGGCTTCCTTATACTCGGCAGCTCTGTGGCAGGTCCTTTGCCCTCTTCCGTCGGAAGTGCTCATTGAAGCCGTCCACACCCTGCAACGCGAAGCTTTGGAGTGTGCGACGGTCTCAGGAATTTCATCTTATGTTGGCGTACTCGCTTTGGCTCTCACGACGTGCTTGACGATTTGTCGAATCCGCAGCCTCTTTACTGGAGGCCGAAAATCACGGGGCCGAGCCAGACACCTCTGCCATTGTCTCCCACCTATGCTGCAGTCTGCGTTTGCACGCCCAGGAGAGGCGGATCTTTGTCAGGCTGTGGAGCTATTCGGTTTTGTCCTCCTCCAGGCCCGGTGCACCCAGGACCCGATCCAGAAGGTGGGCCACGGGCCCCACGACCTCTGCTTCATATACCAACTGGGCTCCCAAGGGCTCTACATAGGTCAAGGGGCGCTGCTCCGTGGCTCGTCGGCCATCTCTGGAGGAGTCGGTCGATTCCGCGAGCATCTTCGTGGGCTCAAATGTGCGTCGCAAGGGATCCCCACAAAGGAGCTCAGCAGGTACCTCAAGTTGGCCCCTGGTTGTCAGCAATGGCTCCTCATGTTCTTTGTGGCGCTTACACATACATCTAGTGCGCACGCCCTTGAGAGTGCACATATAGCGTACAGCCGTCCCGAGGCGAACAATCTACCTAACCCTCACCTTGGGCGTCTTCGGGCTCGCTATCGATCCCACCCTCGAGCACGCCGCCGTCGTGCCCAACGCCGTATACATACGCCTGTCGCACATGAGCACACAGTACTCCAACAAGCATGGTATGATCGACGTATCGATGCCCTGTGTACTCGACGCCTAGGGTTGTCGGCACACCTCGCTGCACGACACCGGTGGCAACACCTTCTCCAGCATAGATTTCATGATCTATATGATATCCTTCTCGCTCGGCATGCTAACGGCCGCCATCTGCACGGACCGCTTAACATTTATGACCAAGCTTGCTTGCTCCTACTCCTTAGATGGCTTGCTTTATCTACCAACGATGTCGATTGGGATCTTGTGTGTCGACGGCGTAAGTTCGGGACTGACTACCTCTATACCCTGTGGGAATTCAGTACCCTGTTTCCTCACTGGATGGACCGAATCCGAGTGAGATCTGCACTTGCTGCGCGTTTGCACTCAGTTGGTCCTCCCAAGCCAGGTGAAAAGATTATTAAAGTTGATGACGCTTGGGAGGCCCAACGCGTTCGGCATTGGTTGGCTCAGGTCATCCAGCAGGCACGCCCGACTAGGCCAGCTTGGGCCAACTGGGCGGTCCGCTCCATACGTTTGATGTCTCGCCCTGTGCTCACGATACGCAAGCGTTTTACCGACATCACGCGAGCCTTTCGCCAGACCGAGTTCACGGAACTCGGTCGCCTCAGCATGTCGGATTTTGCCGCTGCCGCTCGCGGTGATGATATGCAGCGAGTCCCTTTGAACGGTCGCATACCGCTACTCGCAAAGTCTACCCCATACCGTGACACTACTATGTTATCATGTAAACGATGGCTTGGTTCCCGGGGCCTGGATCGGAGCATCTACCCGCCGTATCGCCCAACTCGCCAACGCCCTACTCCGCAACCCACCCATGACGAACGACGTTATTATGACGTGACGGAGGCTCGCAAACAGTTTGAGGACCGAGCCTCTGGAGGCCCATGCGGGACATGCTTTACGGTTGAAGACAAGGACCCAAACACGATTTGGCGGGTCAGCAGTATATAGCAGCTAGCACGGTGGCTTTGTATGCTTCGTCATGCCCATGATCGTTGGCGTGTGGTTAATACTTCGGTCGATGCTATGCTATCTTGGTATCGTTTGCTCTATGACTACACCATCCCCAAGTCTATGCGTGCACGTGGGGAAGGGGCACTTAACCAAGGACATCTTCCCTACGTTTACAGTACGATTAAGTTGAAGTGTTGGGATGGAGGGGCCTCGGTACCCAATGGAGGGCGTCATAAATGTACTAAACCTCAACACAGTTGTTTTCGTAACATATGCAGCTTTGTCCGCCTCCCAGCCCGTATGTTGCATCGTTCCCTCAGCCGTGCTCTCACCTTCCTGGCGAACCAAGTGTATCCAGGTTGGGCTTTTACTTCTTTAGACACGGCAGTGCCCAGCTTTGTGGCGCAGTTCACTCAGCTGACTCCCCACCCGATGGGCGAACCGTGCTGCTGCCGTGGGTGTGGCCGCCGCATGCTCAGCCCAGGTCTGGTGGTCGGGGACGCAGGCCAGGCTTACGAAGCCATCGCTCTCGACCGCATTTACGGCTGCCTTGATCGCCTGTTCGACCAGCTGGAGTCGGAGAAAAAAACAACGCTGTGTTACGGTCATGCGTACTCAGCGATCTCATGTCTTCTTCGGTGGCGGAGCGGATCGGCGCCTGTGGGACCGTACTGTGTGGTTTCTTAAAAGTATCCGTCGTGCTCTTGAGGGCTTTCTAGGGATGAGATTGTTTGTCATCTGTGGCCTTGTCGTTCAACAAGTTAGGGGCATCCCGATCGGAGGCCCCCTCAGCGGGGCCATTCTGCACGCGGTACTGAGTGATTTAGAGTTCCAGGCTGACAAGAAGTTCCCCAGGCGTCGTCGGTATGTGGCTACAGGCAGGTATGTGGATGACATTATACTTGCGTCCAAGGTGTGCTGCAGTCGGTGTCTTAAACGTATGGTCCATCATGTCTATGGCTGCACGGTAAAGTTTGATTTCACCGACTCCGTATGCCCTAATACACGCACAGTCACAGTTCCCTACCTCGAGGCCACCTTTTTCCTCACCCTCACTACCGCCCACACGTACATCATACACAAGAATGAGGCGTATGCGTTCACAGGTAACATCACGTCCCTCGCCAAGCAGTCTATCCTCCCGTTTCTAGGCTCGTTCACTCCTAATCAACTTCAACAGCACCGAGCCGAACTGCGTGGACGTTTGCAACGCTGGAGAAACTTAAAAGTGTGTGCGTTCAATTGGTTGATTCTGGTATCTACTGATGTTTTTATGTATCTTCGGTTGGGTTATCATGAGAAGCATATTCGAAGGATTTGGCATTCTATAGCACCACCTTCTAAGTTTATGGAAATAAGCCAGACAGCGATCCAACTCGTACTCTACACTTCCAGAAGTCTGCGAACCCCACCCGAGTTGCTTGTACCCCTTTTCTCTCAAAGCCTCCCGAGCCAAGATTCGTGTCCGCCCTTGAGTGCACCTTCGAGCTTGACCCAGCCCTCACCTGTGCCGATGTTCAGTTCGTGGCGCAACAAGGGTATCGGCAAGGGCGGCAAGTCTGGAGGTGCGGGTGGTCCGTATGGTGGCCCACACGCCCCGCGCTACAGCGGTCCCCAGCAGCGGAACTGGGGATGCGATCGTGGTGGCGGTGGTGGCAGCCAAGGCTTCACGGGCATGCTTGGCCAGATGACCTCAGTTATGGACAACATCGCTGCCCTGGGTGAGCTTACGCGGGTGGGTCACGCGCTCTCGCAGGCTCAGCAGCCCCACCCTCAGGGTGGTGGCTCGACGCCCCCAGCCTCGGGCACGACGGCAGTACCGGGTGCGGCTGAGCCCGCAAGGGACCTGGTCAAGGCGCTGACTGAGGTCCTGCAGACCAACGCCCCAGGGGACACCAGGCTCCAGCAGACGGTGGAGCGCTTGCACAGCCTCGTTGGGACAGGTACTCCAGTTCCAGGATCAGGCTCGCAAGCAGCGCCTGGTGCAAACTCCCTGGAGCCCAACCCTGTGATCCAGCAGATGCGGGCCAGCATCACCAGCATCCAGGCGACAGTTGATCAACATGGTCAGCAGACTTCCCCCCTTACCTCTACTCTTTCTTCGACAGCCGAGGACTCACGTGCGACTCGTGAAATGATGGAACGCATGTTGGGAATGCCGCAGCAGAATCGGGAGACCCTCCTTACCCCACCAAGGCTCTTGCGACAGACGGAGTCTCCGCCTGGCCCTGGACCCTCAGCTGTACCACCACGTGCACCTACGGCCGCTGAGGAGGGACCTGTTGATGGCACCCCGCTGTTCAGCCCCATGATCAATGCTGCCACCCACAGCTCCGCACTGGAGCGGCTTGGGATCAGCGCCACGCGCGCTAACATGGCCCAGCTGGCCCAGGAGATCACGATGAGCGAGGGCGCATCCCTTCCTTTCGCGGAGTGGTGGACCCAGGTTTCGAGGTGTAAGTCTGTGGGACAATGGGGTACCAAGCTTCAGGCCTTTGGCCTGCCGCAAGCTGAGCTCGCCAACATCAGCAGTTTCAATAAGGTGGGTCAGATGCTCTTCGCCCGCCTGCTGAAGAGTGGTGCGTGGGCTCAGACTGACCAGCAGTATACCCTCCTTCAATGAGCGCCCGCCCCAGCTCCCATGAAAGCTTCTGTGTTTGACACTTATCTGCTGGCGACGTGGAACGATGTGGTCTGGCCAATGATACGCCTTTTCTGTGTGCTGGTGCCCCTCGTTATCTTTGGTTGGACGGCTTACCAGGCGTGCCTCTTCGTTGGCTTCGCTCGTATTTCGGCAGAGGAGATTCTCACTTTCTCGATTCAACGTGTGGTTGCCATCGTTCCCTTCCTGGCGATCCGCGTACGTGCCTCCCTTACGTGGCCAGGACTTGGATCGTGGGCTAGTTCTCTATTGACGGGTACCTTTGGAGGCTCTGACCCACACACTGAGACCCCACAGATTCTGGACCTCCCCGTGCACGGTGATCGTGAGAAATGGGCGTGGTTCGCGGCGGTGGTGCAGCCTGTCCTGGTGGGGCTCTGTGCATGGCTCCATCACTAGACCCGTGAACCTATTGCCTATCATGCCTCTCCTCTCCGCTAATCTTCTGAGCGATGCCTGTTGCAGGTGTGTGATAGCCTCTGCCCTACGTCTGAGGCTTGAGTACTGTCGCAGCTGTCTTTTCCCTCCCCTGGACCTGTTTGGACGGGTTGTGTGTGTGTGTGCGTTTCAACTTTGACAATCATTGGAGACATCATTTTCGGCTCCTGCGAGCTAGGGGATGTCTCGGGGCCAGCCACACATGCAGTATGTGCGTAGCTAGATTTCAGATTGTCTGTATGCATGCTCCTTTGTTTATGTGCGTAGAAAGATTCCAGGTTGTCTGTATGCATGCTTTCTTTAGTTGCCCCCTCAGTCCGCCTCACACGCACCATAGCTTTTCATCTCGAGCCTCCGTTGGCGGAGGGTTTAGGGCGCCGCTCAAGGCCTCAAGGCCGCAGAGATTCTCGGTCCTCTGTCATCGCAGGCACCGCTCGCACGTTTGCTTGAGGAAAACGGTCCGTTGGTCCTCTTGCTTCACTGTTGTTGGTCATTCAGCTACGCTTCGCGGGCTGCTCCGACTGGCACCACTGGAGGAAGGGACGACGACAAGTAACTTGATCAATACGTGATTTCGAACGTAACTCATCACAAGTGTGTGTGTGTGTGTGTGTGTGTGTGTGTGTGTGTGTGTGTGTGTGTGTGTGTGTGTGTGTGTGTGTGTGTGTGTGTGTGTGTGTGTGTGTGTGTGTGTGTGTGTGTGTGTGTGTGTGTGTGTGTGTGTGTGTGTGTGTGTGTGTGTGTGTGTGTGTGTGTGTGTGTGTGTGTGTGTGTGTGTGTGTGTGTGTGTGTGTGTGTGTGTGTGTGTGTGTGTGTGTGTGTGTGTGTGTGTGTGTGTGTGTGTGTGTGTGTGTGTGTGTGTGTGTGTGTGTGTGTGTGTGTGTGTGTGTGTGTGTGTGTGTGTGTTCTGGTGATTCTAGTGATCGGGCATTGCGGGGCGTCCGCGCCCGCCTCGCCGCGGCCTTCGGGCCCGCGGGCCCTGCGCTGTGCTCTCGGGCCGCCAGGCCTGCTGAGCAACGACAGGGGGGCCGCTGAGCCCCCCCCGCCCGCCGCGCCAGGGGGCGCGACCCCCCAGCGCCCCAGGGCGGCGGGTCCAAGGCCAACTGGGGACCACGCCCCACCCCAGGCCCCCAAGCACGACAGCGCCGAGGGGGGCACCAAAATGCGAGGCTGCTCCGCCAAGTCCAGGCCCCGCCAACGGCGAATTCGGGCCCAAGCACCCAAGGGGCGGACCGCCCCACGGGCTCCTCAGCGACGGCGGAAACCGCGCCAAGGGGGCAGCAAACCTACCGCTGGGGGTCCCTTAGAGGCGCACCACGGGCACAGCGGCCTCGCACGACTCCTGGCCGCTTCATGAGGCCACCCGCGCAGCTAGCACCCTCGCTGCAGAACCCCCCCTCCGCGGCTCGCTGCCCGGCCCCGCGCCGCTGCTCGAAGAAGGCCATCATTGGGCCGCGGCCTGAGGACGCTGGTCCACGGCCGCCCTCAGGCGCGCCTTTGCGTCGTCAACGGCGCCCGCCGCTCCGCAGCGCAGCGCCGCGGTCAGCTCCTGCGCTCGGAAGGCAAGCATCTTGGCCAGCTCATCCACGCGGCTGACCTGGGCCCGCCGCTGGGCCTCGATCGACTCCTCTATGTGGGCGAGGATCGAGGGGAGGACGAAATCGTCGCCCGCCGCCTCCTCACTCCCCCGCTGCTGCCGGCGCCGCCTCTGCCGCCGGGTGGAGGGCGGGAGGGGCTGGGCGGCGGGCCCCACGCCGCCGCTGCCCTTGGGGGCCCCCGCCGCCGAGGCGGCCGTGGACCTCCTCCTCGTCCGCGCCCGTGCTGCTGAGGCGGCCCTGTCTCAGGGGGTCCTTGTGCACCTTCGCGCTGACCTCGCCGACGCCCTGCTTCCACCAGCGAGGGCCCGAAGCGAGGGGCAGCGGCACCGCGGGCCCGGCGAGCCGCGCCGCCTGCGCGAGGTCGAACCGCCACCCTCGGGAGCCACCACCGCGGGCGCAGGAGGCGCGCAAGTCTGCGCTGCTGGCACGGGCCCCCGCGCGAGGCGCAGCTGCGCCCTTGCCACGGGCTGCCGCGCACACACTTGCTGCCCTCGGCGGCGCTCCGCGGCGGCCTCGCACGACCTCCTCCTCGGCGGCGGTCTGGCCGCGCACCGCGTCCTCGGAGAGGGGGGCGACCTCGACGGGGCCGTCGGTCGCCTGCATCTCGGCGCCGTGCACGTCCAAGCAACCGACGCGCAAGGCCGCGCCCGCCTGCGAGATGACCTGGCCGCCGCCGTCAGGAGGCGCACGACGTCGAAGGGGTGCCCGCCCACCTTCGTCGCGCCCTCCTTGTCGTTGACCTGGCCCTCGGGGGCGCCGACGACATGGTCGGTGCCCTTGCACTCGTCCATGTCTGGCCCTCCGATGCCCGCGCTGGTGTCGCCCTCCATCTGGGCGCCGCCGGCGTGGCCAGCCGCCGCGCTGGGCTGCGGGAGGGCGGGAACTCGCCCAGCGCCGCGTCCTCCTCGAAGGGGCACTGGTGTTCCTCCTCTCGCGCGTCCTCGCGCGCCTCGGGGTCGCCCACGATGTGGTCCTCGGACGCCGCCTGCTTCTTTCGGGGCCCGCAGCGCCCGCCACGCTGGGCGTGCTGCGGCCGCGCCATGGCCTGCCGCAGGGCATCGACGCCCTTGCCGAGGCCGACGTGCGCCCCGACGTTGCGCCTGGCGCGGGCTTCGCCGCGTGGCGGAGCGCCGCGCACCTGCTGGCGCGTCTCGGGCTGCATGACCTGCCAACGCATCGCAAGCTCGGCGTCCTCCTCGGAGCCGGCGCCCGCCAGCAGCGCCCACGCCGCGCGCAGCGCCGCAGCCACGGCGGCCGCGACCGCCTGCCGCGACGCGCCGCCCGCCGCAGCGCCCTGAGCAGCGCCCTGGACGGCCATCATCGCCATGACAGTCCCGCGCCCCCGTTCGACAGTAGGTCCAGCGCCTCGACGCCCGCCGCCATCGCGGGAGCCGCACCAAGGGGGAAAGAGACAGAGCCGCTCTCTCCTACGAAGGGAGAGGCAAGCCGCGCTCCTCGCCCGCCCTGGCGCCAAAGGCAGGCTTGAGCCAAAATGGCTACGGATGTGTGTGTGTGTGTGTCTCTGTGTGCGTCTGTGTGTATGTGCATGTGTATGTGTATGTGTAAGTATACGTGTATGTGGATGTATGTGTGCATGTGTATGTGTATATGCATGTGTATGCGTATGCGTATGCGTATGCGTATGCGTATGCGTATGCGTATGCGTATGCGTGTGCGTGTGCGTGTGCGTGTGCGTGTGCGTGTGCGTGTGCGTGTGCGTGTGCGTGTGCGTGTGCGTGTGCGTGTGCGTGTGCGTGTGCGTGTGCGTGTGCGTGTGCGTGTGCGTGTGCGTGTGCGTGTGCGTGTGCGTGTGCGTGTGCGTGTGCGTGTGCGTGTGCGCGTGTGCGCGTGCGCGTGCGCGCGTGCGCGCGTGCGCGCGTGCGCGCGTGCGCGCGTGCGCGCGTGGCGTGCGTGCGCGCGCGTGCGCGCGTGCGCGTGTGCGTGTGGGCGTGTGGGCGTGTGGGCGTGTGGGCGTGTGGGCGTGTGGGCGTGTGGGCGTGTGGGCGTGTGGGCGTGTGGGCGTGTGGGCGTGTGGGCGTGTGGGCGTGTGGGCGTGTGGGCGTGTGGGCGTGTGGGCGTGTGGGCGTGTGGGCGTGTGGGTGTGTGGGTGTGTGGGTGTGTGGGTGTGTGGGTGTGTGGGTGTGTGGGTGTGTGGGTGTGTGGGTGTGTGGGTGTGTGGGAGTGTGGGTGTGTGGGTGTGTGTGGGTGTGTGTGTGGGTGTGTGTGGATGTGAGTGTGTGTGTGTGGGAATGTGTGGGTGTGTGTGTGTGTTGTGTTCGCGTGTTCGCGTGTTCGCGTGTTCGCGTGTTCGAGGGTTCGCGTGTTCGCGTGTTCGCGTGTTCGAGGGTTCGCGTGTTCGCGTGTTCGAGGGTTCGCGTGTTCGCGTGTTCGCGTGTTCGCGTGTTCGTGTGTTCGTGTGCTCGTGTGTTCGTGTGTTCGTGTGTGCGTGTGTGCGGGTGCGGGTGCGGGTGCGGGTGCGGGTTCGGGTGCGTGTGCGTGTGCGTGTGCGTGTGCGTGTGCGTGTGCGTGTGCGTGTGCGTGCGCGCGTGCGTGTGTGTGTGTGTGTGCGTGTGCGTGTGTGTGTGCCGCTTTCTTCCACGGACCCTTTCCCCAGGGTCGGCTCTTCCTCCCGAGCCCTCCTCTCGCGGCCCTGGGGCGCGGGGAGGCCCCCAGGAAGCCTCAGGCCGCCAAATGAGCCTCTCCCGCCGTGCTGCCGCACCACGCGGGCAGGCCTGGGGACCCTTTCCCCGGCCACGAGCGGCACCCCTCGCCTGCGGCACGCGCGGCCGGCCCACCCCGCGCGGCGCCCGCCCGCCGAGTGGCGGCGCCCAGGGCGGCGGCCGCAGCGGGGGGGCCTGCGCGGCGCACCCCGAGTACTCGAGGCGCACGAGCTCCGCCAGCCGCTCCGCCTCGCCCTCCCGCCTGGGCGAGCGGCCGCGGGAGCGAGGAGGGGGCCGAGCGGGAGCGGGGAGGGACGGAGCGAGGAGGGCCGAGGAGGAGGATCCAGGAGGAGGATCCAAGAGGAGACCTCGAGGGGGAGGAGAAGAAACGAGGAGGAGGGTCGAGGAAGAGGGTCGCGGAAAAGGCGGAGGAGGAGGAGAAGGAGCAGGTCGAGGAGAGGATGACCGAGGAGGAAGTCAAGAGGGAGGAGGGTCGACGGAGGAGAATTGAGAGATTGAGGCTCTTGAGCAGCTTGGCATCCTTTGTGGGAGCCTCCGCGGGCATCTGGGGATACCTCCGCGGAGGCCTCCGGGGCCCACGGAGGTTTTTGGACGGCCTCCGAGATTCCAGGGCCCCCGGGTGCTTTTGGCCAGCTGCGCCTCGTCGAGAAGCTTCCAGGGTGCCCGGGGTCGTCCCGGACCGCCGTCTTGGGCGTCAAGTGTGGCCCGAGGTCATCCCCCTCGCTGCACTGAGAAGTCACATCGTGCCGGGTCGACACGCTGCGTGTCGGTTCAACACGCGGTCTGCAGCCCGACGCAGGGTTGGAGTGCACATGAAGAGCCGCGTGTAGACACGCTGCGGGTTGCGTGTCGTGTAGCAGGGCAGCTGAGCCTCTTCCTCTTCCTTCTAAGCCTCTTTCTCTGCCTCCTCCACCTCTACCCCTTTTCCTTGTTAAGCCTCCTCCCAGTCGCACCCCCAGACGTGTCAGCAGGGTGGGCCGGGCGTTTCGCCTCAGACTTCTCACCACTCATGTTGTTCTCTTTCTGGCCCAGCGCTCATTCGTCGAAACGGTCTGCAACAACTCAAAGGTGAAAGGATTTCAATATACGGTTTCCGCATTAGCGCCGCGCGCTTCCGTCTTAAAAATTTGAATCCGCTTCAGACATCGAGGCCGGTTTCTTTCCGCAACGTGGCTCGCCTCAACGCCGCGCACATTCGTCCTAAAAGTTTGCAGCCGTTTCAAGGATTCGTATGGCTGAAGTCCCAGGAACACTGTCCTGGCACAATCTAAGATTGTCAGGATGCAACAATCACATTGGTTCGCGGTGTTGAAGTCCGTGTTTTGCCACGGGTTAGGATTGCCCGGGTGCAGCAATGACGCTGATTCGTGGCGTTGAACTCTAAGCAATGATGTCTTGGCACGATTAATGATTATCATACGGTTGTCTTCCTATGGGGCACTGCCCGCAGTGAACATAAAAACCTGTAGAAACATATGAAGGGGAATGGTTTATCGCACCATCTTGTATGCGTCTTGGGTTTACTCTGGTCCTCTCCCTCCTCCTCCTCCTCCTCTGTTCCTCCTCCTCCCCATCATCATAATCATACCCTTGCTCCTTCTCATACGTATCCCTCCCTCTCTCTCGCTCTGTCTCTCTCTGACTCTCTCTCTCTCTCTATTTCTGTCTCGTGCTGCACACATCCTGGGAGACTCGAAGCAGCAGCGCCCTCGCCTACAACTAGCACAGTGGAATACAATATCAAGTGACGACGGAGACATGGTCCCAGCTCTCCCCCACCATAGAAGGGATTCGAAGGGGCACGACACATAACTTCAAAGCGGGCTCGACAAGATCAAATACCTCTCCTCTCGGAGAATCGGGCGACACGCCTACTCTGAAACGGCGGCACGAAGCAAACGAAATCAAGCAGAGAGAAATCGGAAGCTCTTCTGGAGGATGTATCGGGCACCGCAACAATCCCACAATCCCAGAGCGTCCCAGAACGCTCTGATCGCACTCTGGAGGAAACAGAAAGCGGGGAAGTGCGAGGAGCAGGAGGAAACAGAGAGATGGAATAAGGGCCCGAGGAAAAGGGAAGACTGGAGAGGAGAATCGGGAGAAAGAGCGATGATGAGGTTAGTATGTGATTGTTCTCCCACCACGCACCCGCCTGTTTACTGTTTGAAAACCACGCGCCCGAATCATGCCCTGGAAATGTCATTGCGCCTTGAATGTTGGGCCACAACAGTCTGAAACCTGAACCGCCCCCCGCGCGCTGGCTTGCAGTAGTTGAGTGCGTCCTTTGGGGGCAAACTCCGTTTCTCTGTTCAGGCCCAAAGCTCTGATGAAGGTCTGATTCATGTCTGCGCTGGAACTCTGATTCACGTATGGCCCTCAGCACCAACTCTGACTTAGGTCTGACTGGAACTCTGATGTAACTCTGGCCCTAAGACCCAGGTCTGATTTAGGTCTGACTGGAACTCTGATTTAACTCTGGTCCTGAAACCTAAGTCTGATTTAGGTATACGGCCCAAGAGGACCCCGAGTCGCCGAAAGATCGACTCAAAACGCCTAAGATGGTCCCCAGACGTCCCAAGAGGCCCCCAAAACGCCCCAGGAGGCTTCGAAGAGGCCTCCCAAGAGGGTCCCAAGAGGCAGAAATCAATGATTTTCTATGGTTCTTGGACGACTTGGGCGTTCTCAACTTCTCGGCTTCCCGACGCTCCAAGACAGCCCAAGAGGCCCCCAAGACCACCCTAGAACGGCCTAAGAGGCCTCCAAGAAGGCCCCAAGACGGCCACGGCCCAAGTGGCCTCCAAGACGGCCCAAGAGGCGCCCAAGACGGGCCCCAAGACGGCCCCAAAAGGGGCCCCAGAGAGGGAACGCGAACCGAAAATCCGGGCCTTCCGCCCCAAGAGACACTCAGGAGTCCCCAAGAGGGCCCCAAGAAGCCCAACAGAGGCACCAAGAGGCCCCCAAACGGCCCCCAAGAGGCCTCCAAACTGCCTCTCAGAGGCCTAACGAACATCCACTAGGCTTCATTCCCACAGCCCAGGCACGGTGGCGGGATGGGCCGAAGGCCATCACATCCGCCGCCCTCTTTTGCTCTAGCAAAGGGGTGCCTGGCGTGCCAAACTATACGGGTTTGGGTTTTGGTTCTTTTTCCAAAAGAACTCCCCCTGGGGCTTCGGCCCGTCCCGCCGGCCACCCGGAAATGATCTCAAAACCTGGTTGCAAAGGTTTTCCCTGCTCCAGACGGCTGCAAAACAGCCCAAGATGGTCTCCAAGATGCATCCAAGACGGCCAAGATGGCTTCCAAGACGGCGAGGATGGCTCCAAGATGCCTCCAAGACGAGCCAAGATGCACTCAACACGGCCTAAGATAACCTCAACATGGCCCCAGACGGCCCAAGAGGCCTCCAAGAGGTCCTCCAGGAAGGCCCGAAGAGGCCAAAATCATTGATTTGCCTTTGGTTTTTGAAGGATGTTGGCATTTGCGCCTTTTCGGCTTTCCGACGGCCCAAGACGGCCCAAGAGGCACCCAAGATCGCCCCAAGATCGCCCAAGAGGCCTCCAAGAGGGCCTCATGACGGCCCAAGTG